TATATGACTACTACTATTTATTTCTACTACTATATTTTATTACTACTACTATTTTTAAAACTTGTAGCATTTCTATAATTTCTTCTACCTGAATGTCTACTACTAATTCTAAGACTACTATTACAATTTGAATTTATATAACTACTACTATTTATATGACTACTACAATGTATATGACTACTACTATTTATTTGAATACTGCTATTTCCTGGATACTATCTACTGATTTCTATGATTACTACTATTTTTATGACTACTGTCTACTACCATTTTTATGGATACTACTATTTTATATACTACAATTCGTATGACTACTAATCATTCAGGAGAAAAATATAATGTTGAAAATAAAATGTATAAATCAAATACTTGTATAAATAATCATTTACATATATAACTACATGTAGAGTATACGAATTCTGTAAAGCTGCTGAAAATCTTTGAACTATTCAGCATATGTAAGCTTGATCTCAACATAATAGAATTGTAAGGCGAATGTTTTTAAATATACTTTATTTATACAAATATTATTGTTTGTTATTTGCAAAACGCGCACCAGGTAGTCGTACTCCTCCATTAAACCCACTAAACATAGACACTAAAGAGCGAGAGAGAGACAGAGACAGAGGCACATAGAGAGAGGCAGTCGGGCTCTAAAAATTACTGCAGTGTGACCCGCTGTAGACCTCCATGAATTCACCGGAAATGCAGGCGCTGCCCACGCCCATATTCATGGGCTGGCAGAGGCCTGGAACCTTGCTGGTTATCTCAATGGTGCACGCGCCGTGGCCATGTCCGTGTCCGTGCGGATGCTTGTGCTGTTGTCCTGCGGGCAGCTTGACGAAGGAGGCTTTGTTGCTTACACGCGGCTTCTGGACGGGCTCGTCGGCGAACTGCAGCCAGGCTGGCGGCAGTGAGTGATGCCTGCGGGTGGAGTCGCCGTTATCCTGATCCTGGTCCACATCTAGCGGTATCTCAACGGCTTCCACATCGACGTCGTCGTCGATTAGCGGAAAGGGTGTGTACTGCGTCTTGGCCTTGCTGTTCGCCGGATCATTAGAGGCAGCGCTCAGCAGGTGGGGCGTCAGCTCCAAGGCGTTGGCAATCAGTAGGGTTGTCGCACAGCAGAGCAGCAACTGCAGTGAGGCCATGCTAGTGTAGCTGCTTGGATGATGCCTGATCGCTAGCTCCTGAATGAGGATGTGCACTGTGGCTGCTGCTTCTCGAAGGTGCTGCGAGCCCGCGGCTGTTCCGGTTGAGAATGTTGCTTGGCAGGCACAGGACGTTGGTTTTTATAGGGCAGCTGCAGTCCGGCGATTGCGCTTGGTCAGCTTAGCCGGACAGTCAATGAACCCCGGGCGCCATCCACACAATCGAAATTGAAAAGAAGCCACTCAAGTAAGGGCAACACACACACACGCACTTGCACAAAAATCGTAATTAATTGTAGCCGAGCATACGTCCTGTAAGCCAGTAGGCGGAGTACAATGGGACGGACAATGGCAGCGAGTCGGATGCGTATTTGAGCTGCTTGTGGTGCTTCTCTCTGAGATGATGAGAAAATTGAAAATCTATTCGAATGTCTTTTCCTACACGCAGCATTCTATTTGATTTCATTTGAGGCAGGGCCACAGTCAGAGTCGGAGTCAGAGCCACAGCCACGGGCAAAGCCATTGCCGCTTTCCTTTTGTATTTCCGGCAATTATTTTCGACGATGTGCCAATATCGCTAACGACAGCAGCCGGCGGCAGGAGACGCGCTAACGACTTCATAAGCAGAGCCAGCCATTCGATTTCCATTTCGATTCAATTCAAACGTACCCACATATACCCTAAAATTTTAGCTGCTGCCGCAGCGGAACCGACGTTGACGCTATTTTCAAAAATGGCGCCTACGTGTGCGACGTGCTGATGGCAGCTCAGACATGACAAGCAGCCCAACAAGCCAGGCCAGCCCATGTCAATAAACACTGCGCCGCGATGCCATATGGAATTATCGCCACGTAACGAGGGCTGCACAAATTAATCTCTCTCTTATTCAAACACTCAATTGCAAGCAAAGACAAGTCTTCAGATTACTCTTCGAGTGAGCATTGAGGTTGCAGAGAAAACTTGATTGAGTGGAGCGCGAAGCAGGTCCAATAGCAGAGATGGAGATTGCTATGCCAATCATCTTTATAGAAATCATTAAATTGTAAGACTAATTACTAATTAATCACGACAATAACTTTATTAACTTGAATTACTTTAAATAAAATCACTCATATATAAGCAGAATAATAATACATTTATTAACCTCGAAT